TTTCTATTTTAATTTCTGTACCTATGTATGAGGGTTGTTCAAAAAGTTCCCAAACTTTATTTATTACAAAAAAAAAAAAATACTTACAATTTATTTGTCAGGGTCCCCTTCAAAGTTGTCTCCTCCCCAATGTATACACTTATCCCAATGGTGTTTCCACTTTTTGAAACAGTTCTGAAATGCTTTTTCTGGAATTCTAATAAGCTCCTCTGTCTTTTTTTTCCTTCTATCTCTAGAATAGCGGCAAATCTTTTTCCTTTGAGCATGTTTTTTAGTTTGGGAAACAAAAAAGTCTCATTGGGCCAGGTCAGGTGGGGAAACACAGCAGTCTTGTTTTTGGCCAAAAGCTCACGAGTTCTGAGAGACAAATAAGCTGGCACATTGTCGCGGAGACACTCACCGCTCCTCCAAAGTTTGGGTTGTTTTCAGCTGATTCTGTCTCTTAGGTGTTTCATAACCCCCAGGTAGTATTCCATGTTGACTGTCTGGCCTGTAGGTAGGTATTTGCGATGCACAACCCCTTTTGCATCAAAAAAACAGTCAACAATCACCTTAACATTTGAGCGAACTTGTCAAGCTTTTTTGGGGCGAGGGATGTTTCACCCACCCATGGGAAATTTCCGTGAAGGATTTCCTGAGTTTCACACAGAATTTCACAGAACAGCACTGTTCCTTCAATGAGCTCGTTTCCGTGGATCTGATTTTTCACCAAACCCCACAAACACCCCTTCACATAAATGGCCATAACTAATCATCAAAACAAGATATCAACAAACAGATTGAAGGAGGTTGCTCAGGAGTTTTTCACGGACACAATGCCTCCAAGCAGATTAAAAAATAACCAACTGGAGGCATGCTATTCAAAAAGTTTGGGAATTTTTTGAACAACCCTCGTATATATGTAATAGATTTGAAGATTTTGTTAAAAAATATTTAATACTGTTTTAATTTCTGAGTTTACAGTACATGATAAGGTGTTATACATCATATTAATGTATTTAACTCTGCATGTGAAATTTCATTATAATAAAAATCTATACAAGATAATTACTGTTTTAAAAGGGCTGCACAAAAACATTGAGTGGGTTGCATATGGCCCGCAGGCCACAGGTTGGACAACGCTGGCCTAGACACTTATGCAAACATTTATAATTAACAGAAAAATATTAAGATGTTCTTAAAACATGTTTTAAATTTTAATGTGTAACCGATTCAAACACTGTTATTTTGTAGGAATTATCACAACTACAGACTCCAAAATACTAGCCAATCAACAATTTTATTTTACCCGAAATACATCTTGGTAAAATAAAGTTGTTGATTGGCTAGTATTTTTGGAGGCTGTGGATGTGATAATTATTAGAAAATAATGGTGTTTGAACCAGTTACATATTGAAATTAAAAAAAAAAAAAAAAAACAGAAGGATAAATTAAAACATTTTGCTATGTTTTTACTCTAATGACATCAGTTTTGAGAGGTTGATACATCTAATATTGTTCATATTTTAGTACAGTGTTTCTGAATACACAGAGCAAAATTTTATTAAAATATATCGAATATTAATATTAATCTACTTGAGAAAAATATATGTAAATCAGGATATTCAGCACAGTGAGTAGCATTTACTAGTTCTCTGTGTTCAGAATGTTAAAAGATGAAGAAGCACTCTGCTTGCTGACTTAAGATTCAATTCAGTGATACTAGGAGTGGGCTAACTGAATCATTTGCCATCCACAAAAATGCAAATTCACTCATAAAAATCCCATGTAAAACAAAATCCTACTGTACTTCATATTTGTAATATAATGATATAAATTATAAAAAGAATAATTGTTATATTATATTTTTTATTAATAAAATAAAGTTTTTTATTTAAAAATTTTTTTGCCAAAAAATAATTAATGTAAAAATTTTTAAGTGGAAGAAGAAATTCCTGATGAAATTAAGCCATTATTGGTTGAACCTGTTCGAATAGAAACAGAACAACAGCAACATCCAGAATTAGTAACAACACCTGTAGAAACAAAATCACCACCTAAATCACCTGTAACACCCGCTTCTGAAGAAGGTAAAAGATTAATGAATTTCATATTCATCAACATATTTAGAATATTCCGTTATATTCTGTATAAGCTAAAAGAAAATAACTTTTTCATAAATATGATAAAAAAAAATTATTTTAGTGTAGCATATTAATCTTTATTAAAGATTAATTATTACCTGAAAATTTAATTGTTAAGAAAATAAACCATATTAAACAAATTAAATATCCAGAAATTAACAAGAAAATAATAAAATTCAGATTGATGAAAGATATTTATATAATTATAAAAACAATTCTTGTTCCTATGCTATCATTGGAGTTATATTTTAATTCATAAGTTATTACATAATATTTTAATTGTAAATTAAAAGTTTAAAATCTTATATTAATTAATATTTGTATATACAGTTTTTATTATTCACTATTTTCTTAGTAATTTTTTCAATATATTTTATATCATGTAAATAATTCTTTAGTTTTTAAACTTTAAAACAGCAATACTTCATTATTTAAGATTTTATTAAATCTCTGCTTTTAAGTCAAAATTTTTATTTATTTTATCAGATTTTTTACTGTTTTTTATGTTATATGAAATATTATTAGAATATTTCAAACTTTTTCTTTAATACTAATTGACACTATTAATATTACAAATTCTAATTATTCTAAAATTCTGCATTCTGTAAACATATTCTGTGATTTTAAATATTGAAAAAAGAAAATAAATTTTATAATACAAAATCAATTAGAAAATTGTTTTTGATTTTAATTTTGTAAAATTATTAAATTGAAGTTATTTGCAAAAAATTGCTCTTCTACTTCTTAATGTATTTAATTGCTTGCAACAAATTTTACTTTCTACTTTTTAAGACTGTTTACTTGTAAACAAACTAAATATCTTTTTATTTAAAGTCTTAGACAACTTTTTTGTAGAAATAATATATTAATCTAAGGAAAAAATAATGATAATTTTTGTCCTAATGTAATATCAATACACAACATTATCAAAACATATTATTAAACATATATAATTAATATATTACAGTAATGTTATACTGTGAAAGATTCGAATGTAGAACACGTAATAATATGACCAAACCACGAGGAACGAACAGTTTATTAGCCGAATTATTTAATTAACAGAGAACTGATGCCCGTCACAGAGATGAAATTACACATATATTTACAAGGTCTCTGCTCTCATTTAGATTTTTCCAAACAAAAATTTGATTACATACATTTCAATTAAAACTAAACTACTTACAACTAACCTTAACCTAACACTACAACTAATAGAAATAGATAGAGAAAAATAGTAAGAGGAATCTACTGGTAGTTAGACAATGGGGGTCCTGATCTGGGTGATTAATCACGGTGGATGTCCAATTCATCAGCATTGGGGTTAATACTATGCAGATGTTAACAAATATACACCAAGATATTTCTAGGGACCTCTCAGGAACCAATATCTCAATTATTTCTTGTCTCTGTCCCACCTTTTCTATCTGGGCTTTCACCATTGATCTCCATCTCACACACAGTCCTTCAGTCTCTCCCTTGACCTTCCTTCTTGGTGACAAATCTAAAAAGTGTCTGTTTTCTGACCCTGTGTCTAACAATTGCTTCAAGCTCCCTGTCCCTGTTGGCAAAACACCAATCAGGACCCACAAAATTCCTGCTCCTGTCAGGTGACAGGAAAGGGCTAAAAGTGGAAGGAAGAAGGGTGATAGGAAAGAAGAAAGGAGTTCTAATTCTATATACAGTATTTACGTAAACAAAATGGCAGACAGCCACAATACAGTTTATGTAAGCAGTTTTTAATATTTTCTATTTTAATTTGTATTATAAATAAATAATAATGGAGTTTGAAATAATTTGAAAATATTTTATAATAAAAGTGATCATTTCTAAGTAGGATTTTTGGCAGTTTGTATAAATAGAAATTGCAAAGAATTTTAAAAAATTTTACTTTATATTTTATGAATAAATTATTTTCATTTGGCTAAAATTTTTAATTTTAAGTAATAATTATAAGAATAATATTACTACTATAATTTATACTAGTAATATTATTCTTATTATAGGTATTATTTAAAAGTGATTCATGAATGATTAATTATCTGTTCTTTACTATAAAACATGTGTATAATATAATGTAATTCATATACCAAGTGATTGTAATTCAACACTGTCTATAGAGATATTTAGCAATTCAAATTCAATCAGATTTGGTATGATGACATTTCAAAATGTGGAAGACATTTCCATAAAATAATACCAAAACTTGACACTATGCAACTTTTGGAAATGAAAAAAAAAACAGTTTCATTTGTAGAAATACTTAAAAAAACATTGCAAATTTTTACAGTCTTAAAATCCAGTGTCATGTTTCATGTGACACTGTTTTTCAAGGAAGCATCACATATCAATTACAATTAGTGGTTGAGTACACTTTTCATTGCCTTTAGGTTCTGAATCTTTAGAATGTGGACCATATTGAGCAGTATTCCCTGAATCCCTGCTATATTGTATATGTATATATCTGTATAGCATGAGTGTCTTATACAAATAAAATGTTTGTTTGCAGTGCCAAAAATGGTGAGTTTTGATACTAATTTTTTTTATGGAAATATCTTCTACATGTCCTGAAATGTTGCATACTAGATTTGATTGCACTTGGACTACTAAATATTTCTCTAGACATTATTGAATAGGAATATTTTAATTACAATCATTTGGTGTCAGGGCCATCAAGAAGCTGGAGGAGCTGGGGATTTTTCCCCAAGCCAGAGAAAACTTAAGGTCCTGTAGTGATTCCTGACACTTTATAGTGTCAGGAATCACTATAAAATTAACATTAATTTTGCTAATGGAAAATAAAATCTTTAAGACTGCTTTTTTTTTTGGTAAAGAAACATCTTGTGTATTTTATTTCTTCAAAAGAAAAAAAGGTTAAAGGAGCCTTCTAAGAGGCAAAGGGGTTGATCTAAACCTCTGGTTTCATACAAACTCTCAATGGCCTTGCCTGGTGTATATATATAATATAATTAATATTTTATTTAATNAAAATTGTAAGTATAAAGATATATAGAATTATTGCTAAGTATGTATATATACAAGAATGTATGTATATACTTACAATATTATACAGTATTTGTTTTCTTATTAATATATGATAAATTATTGCTGATGATACTATTTATTTTTTCATTGTAATAATTTAATTTATTGACTAAATTTTTAAAATAGTTTTTCAAATACAAATCATATTTTATAAATCATCTAAAACTTTGGTTGAGAAGTACAGTTAGTTCAAGGTTTTTTATTTCTGAATACCGATCCAGAAACTGCAGTAAAATAATTAAAATGTTTTCATTTTCATTTTCTAAAAAAATGGCATCATTTAATTAATAGCTGAAATTATTTCTGCTTTACTGCATTAAATTAAAATTGTCATATCCAAATATTATTTTTCTTTTTTAATTTATTTATCAAGGAGCTTTAGTTAATTTTAAAATGTTCTTTCTTTACTATTTATGTGTATTCATTCAGTTCGCAAGAAACCAAAGATTCCTCCCAAGCCAATTCTTCATCCTGTATCTCGTGAACCTAAAATATTCATCACAGATGGTTGGTTGTTTTCTGCTTAGAATTGTATTTATTTCAGTTTTGTTGTGCATGTGGAGACATGACACTGAATTTGCATGTGGTTTTTGCAATTAAATGCACTAATTGTTTTTTATTTTGATTTATAAAACATGAAATCCTGATAACATTTGTCTACATAAAATATTTTTAAATAAGTGAATGGTAATTATTTTAAACATCATTAGTTCTCTAATCTTCTGATCATGTTTACTAGATAATATAATGCAATTAATTATGAAATAAATATATGAAGATCATCTAAATGTCTAGCATATCATATTAAAGTTTAAATTAACATTACTGATTACTGATACAAATTATTGATTACAGTAAAAACTAAGTTTTACTGTAATCCATAATTTGGTATAAAATTATAATAAAGTACAAATGATTTAAATTTGACATATTACAGTATTTAAAATGTTACTTTTACTTAAAATTATAAATTATGATCAGCTTTCTGTTTCAATGTGCATAAATTTGGGTTACATTGTTGATATAATTATTTTTCTCAGCATTTGATTTTCAAATCATCTATTGCAAGTTTTCTTTAATCTTTTGCATATGTTTTAAATCATACATGTAAATAACATTCATTGAATTGAAAAATTACAGTAAATTCTTGATACATAAAATTTTAAGCACATACTGTTATCTTTTGTAACTGTATTCTTAGAAAAAATGCCCTTTCTCTGTTGATAAGAATGCCATATTTATATCATTCAAAAGATACAATATTAACAATTTTTAATTTTTAAAAATTAATCTTGTATCTTTTGGTTGAAATTGTGATGCTCATATTTATAAAATATAAATAAAAAGGTATTTAGATTTACTACATTTTCTGTAATAATTGCCCACTAAGTAATTATTGGAGTAAAAAAAATATTGATATAAGGAAAAAAGCATGATTCCAAAAGAGAGATAAAATTAATATAACAATTTAATAAAATTGGTTAAATTGGAATATTATGACAAATATATAAAAAGTAATTTGAATGAAGTATTTGAATTACTTTAATTAATGGTCATATAATGATAATATCTACATTTTTATAATAGTATGAATACTAAATTATTTAATTGAAATTTAAATCATAAATAATTAATCAATATTCTGTTATCATTAAGTGCATTTGAGGCAATGCTGACTTATAATGATCTGGTAGATAGCAGTCTTAAATACTGTTCTGTCATTTGCCAGTTGGCTTAATTTGCAGAGGCTCATGCCAATTTCTGCTGTGCCATCTCATAGTAGAGGTCAGCCCTTTTGTGCTGGTCTTCCAATTTTCCAAGCATTATGTCCCATTCTAATGATGTTTTGCTTCAAAACATATGACCCAAAAAGGCTAGGCAAAGTTTCAACATCTGTGTCTCCATAAATAAGTTTGGATTTATCTGCTATAGCACAGATGTTTGTTTTATGTGCTGCCCTTGGAATGTGCAAAAGTCTGCACCAGCACTGCAGTTTACAGATGTGAATTGTTTTTCTGTTTTCTTTTTTAGCAGTCCAACATTCACTTTCATTTGATACAAGTGGAAAAATCTTTGTATTGTTGAGTTTTATTTTTAATTTATGAGAAACATCTTTTGACTTCAGGACTTCTTCAAGATCTCTGCTCTTTTTCCAAGTAATATTTATCTTTGAATTTCTTCTGTGCTGGAGCTGTTTCATTTGATTACTGAGCTGAGTAAGGTTATTCAAATTTGATGTCATCAATTTTAAGCCTTTTTTTTGTCTGCCTGTTTCTTTCCTGTCACATTTTGTCACCAATTTTTAGATACCTTCCCATACTGAGGTCACACTTAATCTGCCATCCCATATAATAAAATCAAGAATTTCTGTAAAACAGGTCTACAGTACATTAATTTATTTGTATTCCCTGCCAAGACAAGGCTAATTTTAAAAATAAGCCAATAAAAAAACAAAAGTCACTGATTTACCACAGAAGAGTCTGATGACATTGTATTAAGTTAATATGTTATACACTGGTACATCTTTCAGTAGTATCTTTATCTATAATCTGAATCTGTAAAAGTTAAGATTGTTGCCATTATCCTTTCATATTAAAGGTTCTAAAGTGTTTGCAACAGAGAATATTTAGTATAGCACTTCTATTAAAGTGCAACTATTTAAACAAGCAAGAACTTGCTGTGTGATCATTGATCAAAATACTTCTGTATAAGAATTTTGGAAAAAAATTATTTTAAACAGGAAAATTTTTGAAAAGCTTTACATCATCATTGTTCTATTAATACCTCTTCCCAGTGCAGATGTCATATTTGAGTGACCCCTATGGATTACTGAACTATACCTACCAGATTACTTTATTTATTATAATCTAATATACAGTATAAAGAAGAAAGTTAGTTAGTTTATTCTTTATAAGAATTATACAGCTTATAGTAATAGCATTTGAGCAAATGCAATTACACTTTTCAGGGATCATCATCTCATCCAAGAGAAGTCAATGACTACTTTTGGTTAAATTAACTTCAACCTTCTCACTTGCAACTGGTCTCTTTTCTATCTGACTTGGAATGATGGCATTCAAATAGAAAAATTGGTTGATACAAAGTTACCAGCAAGCACAAAGTATGTTTCTAGGAGTTTTTGAGGATACTGAGTTTAAATATGTGGTCTATATTTGTGAAATTTGATTGATTGGCCGATTACTATTTCATATTTGGCTATGAATGCTATGTTAAAGTTAATACCAGAAAAAAATTTGGATGTTTTGAATTATCTTCTAATTATAATTATTATATATTAATAATATGATATATTTATTATTCATAATGTAGAAATTTTTCAATAACAAGTTGTTGAGCACTCTCTTGCTTGAATTTTACTTTTAAATTTATTCATTCTATCACAAAAAATCAATTAAAATCTGAAAACTGATATTGATATACAGTTTTCATAAATTATTAATTTAAGTGTTCTGATCACGAAAAATCCCTCTTCCTTTCTCTCCCTTTCCATTTTTAATTTAAAGCCTTATTATTAATTTTTATTTACCTGCTTATTTATTGCTTGCTTTATTTCTATTTCACTGCATCACACAGATGCATGAATGCATGTTGCCATTTAAGCATGCCTTTTATTTTTCACTTAGATGCAAAACCTGCAGTTACAGTACAAAGGTCTTTATCAGCACGGTTACCAAAAGAAGGTATAGTATAAAATTTAAAAATAAATGTAATTTAAATATCGTTTTATTAGTTAACATAAAAATTATTGTAAATAATATAGTAAAAATCCTTTATAAATTTGTTAAAAATTTATTGAATTATTGTTTATTATATACACCATGGTAAGTAAAAGTTGGACTCTAACTTGAAACTTCTGCTCACTGTGCAGAAGTTTCAGTTCAATTCTTTTCTTGAAGAAATTTCTAAATTAAAAATTATTATAATTATTAAAATTAATACAAAATGGTAGTGTATCCACCTATCTCTAGTCAAATTAATTTTAAGCCCTTTTTTGACTGCCTGAATAGCTCAAAAATGGCCTGATAATTTGACAGATTGTTTGGCATTAATTAATTTAAATCATGTTATGAATTGTTGCTATTATATTATATATAGCATTGATGCAATATCAATAAGTTAAATCTCACCTATGAGTATTAGTACAATTATTATTAATTGATATTTGAAATTTTGAGTGAAAATTAAATATTACAGAAATCATAAATTATTTATCATATAATTTATAATAAAATATTTTATTTATTTAAATTCAAATTTACATTCTGCTTAGACTCTATTCATTTTATAACTAAGAACTCTCTTAAAGAATTCAGAGGATTTTTACTATATTTTATTATTCTTAAAATCTAAGTTTATAATATGAAAATAATATTAAATTTAAGTATAGTAATTAATATTTTTATTTATTTATATTTGATGATGATAAACAAATAATTCTATATTAATTAAATTATCAACAACCATGAGGCAGATAATAGTGAGGGCTTATCAGACCAATGATGGGCACAAATGCTCAGGAATCAAAGTGAAAATGTTTAATAAACACAAAACGACTACGTAAGTATACTTATGTAAGTATACTTACGTAAGTATACTTATGTAAGTATACTTACGTAGTCGTTTTTGTGTTTATTTTCTATCAGAAAATAGTCGTTTTTACGTGTCGATTTTCTATCAGAAAATAGTCCATAATGCATTTTAGGTTTTTTTGTTTCCATACTTATGTAGTCATTTTTGTGTTTATTAAACGTTTTCACTTTGATTCCTGAGCATTTGTGCCTTTCATTGTTCTGATAAGCCCTCACTATTATCTGCCTCATGATTGTTGACAATTTAATTAATATAATTATCCAAGGGCTAGAAGCAAACTTTTGTAATAATTTTGTAACAAATAATTCCTTATTATTTAAATTCATATTTGAAATTTAATTATTATGGCAAAAATTTAATTCAATTAATAAATAATTCAACTAATTGAATTCAATTTTGCTGAACCAATTAAATTTTAAATAATTCAATAAAACTTTGATAAATAAATATCTTGATGATTTGAATAATTTTACAATTGATATAGATATATTGCTAGATCATGAGAATTTAATGATTAAATTTATTGTTTGTGTCCTGCTAGAAAGGAATGGCTTAATATTTGAATCTGTTACATTATATATTAAATAAATGTTCTTAAATCAACCAAATATTTTGAGTCAAGGCTTAATGGCAATATGTATATCAAAAATTTGAAATATTTTCAAATGTCAGATACTATATTAAAAAATTTATCATTTGTTAAAACTTGATAATAGTATAGTTGTAATATATTTTATATTGAAGGGGTTTAGTTAATGATATTTTCAAGGCACAGCTGTGTAAATATAGTAAAATGTATTAGTACTCAAATTAGATTAGGGAGATAAAATATGGCATTTATATTTATCTGGATAATTAAATTTTCAAAAACAAGTTTTCTCAGATTGTAATTTATCCTCATGATAGTGGCATAGATAACTTTCTTTCCTGCTGAAGAAAGTGTAGTTTGTAGCCCCATAGGTGTTTCACAAGTGCATTAATGCAGTGTTTCTTCAATTGTGTTCTGAAGAACTCTAATAATCCATGAACAATCTCTAGAAGCTATGCAAAAATTTTGACAAAATAACAATAATTGTTAATTTTAATGGAAATGCAATAAAAACTTATTTTGTCATACTTTCAAATTTATTATTTAGTAATAATTTCACCTGAAACCAATTAATATATTTTATGAAAATTTTGTTAGTGGAAATTATGGTGTTAGATTTTACTGATAATAAAATTTTGATATCGGTGTCACTTCAGATTTAAGTTGGTAAAGAAATGAACTATGACCATAATTATTGCACAAGTTCTTTCCAAAGATATGTCTTGTATTATTGATAAAATTAAAAATTAATATAAAATGTTTAATGAAAAAATTTTAAAAGTTATATCAATTTGTTCTCTTCTTTCATCCATCTCTTCCTAGAAGAAAAAAGCTAAAGAGTATGTTACTTGTTGACTTTTTTAAAATTTAACTTCTCTTAATGAATTAAATCTGAGTATTAATGACATTCTAAAAATGGCTTCTAAAATAGTATAGTAGAAGCCAAGTTCTTTGGGGTAATCCTTAACCCTCTCCCTCTCCCCCGCAGTGGGAATTTTAAAAAAATCCCTTCTTAGTGTACGTTTTCATGGCATACCCCATTAAAACACAATCAAAAATGCAAAAAACCACATCTAAATAGTATAATAGAAGCCAAGTTCTTCACAGTAAGACTTAATCCTGTTCCTTTCTTTCTGTGGGGGGAATTTGAAAAATTGCTTCTTAGTGTACATTCTCATGACATACTCTGTGTACAAAATTTCAACTTTCAACTCCTAATCGTTTGGGCTCTGCGCTTATTATTATTATCATTATCAATCCATCTCAATTATATTATAAGATTAAGGTGGGAAATTCATATTAGAAAAGAAGGACATTCATTACTTTTCCCACTTTATATCTGATCTGCAATGAGTGCAGAATTTGTGATGATTATGTTATATAATTGTCACAAAATACTAGATTGTAAATTTTTAATGCACTACTGTAGTTAGTATTATTTGTTATACTTGGGCAAAATAATTTCATAAATTAATAAAGTTTGTTTAATAAACATGATTGAAATTATTGAATAAAAAGATACAAAGCTAATAATGTCTGAATGGCTAAGTTTAAAAAGTTCTGTAATCTAGAATATCTCTGCTCCTGATGATGTTAGATTAAAAGTATTCAGTATATTATTTTCCAAGTAATTTTTGTCATGGAGTTGACCATTACCGAGTTGTTGGATAGTTGCATATCACTTCTGATGTATCTACACAACTCCAAAATTAAACAGTGTTCAATTTCACCATTTGATGCCAACACTATGCAGCATTGAGTTAGCCACTGGCCAGAGTTTGACTATTAACTGGACAATATTCCTGTTGACTCCAGTGATAGCTAGCAACTTTGATATACAATGCTGCTGTTGGACTATAAGCCAGTCTTTACTGAAGTTAATGAATATAACATTTTACATCTATATATGTCAACAAAAATATTGACTATTATGAAACAAATACAGTGGGTGATCGGTTAATCAACAGTTCAGACTGTGAACAAACACTTTCACGAAAGATTGTTACGTTCACTTCAACAGGTCTACAGTAGGCACAATCTTAGCTAAGAAAGATATAATCAAAAAGATTCAAGCAGATAAAGTAACGAAAATTACATCTGAGAAACAAAGATGTGTCATGGAGAGATTGCTTTTAGTTTGTTATTACATATAAATAAATGTAGTAAGAAATTATATAATTTTTTATTTATTTTTTGGGGTTTCCAGAATGAATTAATCGAATTTCCATAAAAATCTGTGGTAAATTGATAATCAGTTAATGAACAATTTGGTAGCAAACATTGTCTTTGAACAGATTATATTCATTAACCAATCACCCACTGTGTTTTATTTTATTGAACAGTATATGAAGAGAGGCATTAAAATTGAATTTTATTAAATTTGTGAATATTTCCTCTGAAATAAGTTTTTTGATAAATGCATTTTATTTTATTTTTTTATAATAAAATGACATTATCATCTTTTGAAGCAGATTGAAATAGGTACAGTTTCCTTGATTTATTGAAATTTTTTTTACTTTGGTAAAGGGATAATTTTAAATGTATCTATAATTATATTTCTATAAATACCAACCATTAAATAAGTTTGGTTCATAGAAGTTTATGGTCATAATTTTCAAAATTTCATAAAGTTTATTTCTAAAATTAAAAAATAGTATATGATATTTTATGGTTTATATTTCAAAATTATTTTTGATATACAATATAAACAATGTATAAAAATTTATTTGTAAGATAAATTCTTTATGCTACCTTTTCATGCTGCTAAAGATCATTCTGAAAAACATAAAACTGAAGGTAAGACAATTATTTGCCTGCATATTTTATAATTTGCTTGCTTTGATACTATAATTTATATGTATTATATATAATAAGTTTGTTGGCATGCATATATTTTTAATTGCATCTTGATGCATGGCTTGCATGTACTGCTTACTTTCAGAACAATCACGTGAAAATTACTTCAAGCGCCGATTTTTATCTGAACGAAAGAAAAAAAATACTTGTAAGTTTGCTTATTATTTGATGTAGCATGTAGTTAATGGCTCTACATAAAGTATTTTAAAGTAATTTCTTTCTAATTTTATATTTTGCTTCAAGTTTTTATAGATTTATATATGCATGATATCAGTTATTGTAGTCTAAGTTTAGCAAAATCTTATTTTTATATGAGAATAGATAAGATAAAAAAATTTTTTAGTTTCTTATAATTATCCTATTTATAAATATACCAGATGATTGTAATTAAAGTATCTTTATTCAATGCTATCTGGAGAGAAATTTAACAATCCAAATGAATCAGATTTGGTATGGTTACATTTTAGGACATGTGGAAGACATTTCTGTAAAAAAAATTAGTACCAAAACTCACACTAAAGCAATTTAAGCTCTGCAAGCAACAAAAAAATTTTATTTGTGGAGACACTTAAGTGTGGTGTCATACCAATTATGATCACCTGGTATATCTGAGTATGATTATTAGTATTAGAGAATAAGTAATAGCAAATTTATTTTTCTTACAAGGAAAAAAGCAACAAAATGACTACCTGACTTAAATATTTTACATTTAAAATAAAAGTTTATGTAAAATTAAACTCATACATAATAGTCAAGAATTCTCAATCTTAACCACTTTTGAGAAAAAAGGAACCAATTTTAATTTCACCAAGTCACTTGAAATTTTAATTTTGTGACATTGTAACCTTTGTCCATTCATACATTTAAATGCTTTTTTATTAATATATTTCTTTTTATAAAGTTATACAAAAGATGTCTTTTATGCTATAAATTTTATATTAAAAAAAAAACAGACTTTTACTGTATCATTAAATCTTTTCAATCATATAAATTACATATATAAATAATGTTATAAAATTTTAAAATATTAAACTACCAATATTTGAATTGTTAAAATGTATTTAACTATTGGACTTAAAACATTAATTTCTGATGTTTATAATATAATGCAAATTAAATTTGTTTTCTTATTACAATAAGAACAATATTACTATATATAAATAACATAACATTAAAAATAAAATAAAATACATATATTAATCATAAAGGTTGCAAAAATATCAAATTTATAACAGTTATCTATAGCAGTGTTTTTCAATCTTTCCTTCATTGCAGACCAGTAAAATTAAGGATAATTTTACATGGACCAAGTAATTATATGCAACTATGAATTATGCTTATTTATTAGGCTTATATATCCTTTTCTAGAGTTACTGTACATACAATAGCTCTAAATTATTTTTTAAATGTCATCCATAATCAACTATGCCAGCTTCAGTTTGATCAAATATTTTTCTGTGGACTGGTGAAATTTTTTCAACTGCCACACCAGTCTCTGGACTGTCAGTTTGATTATAATGACACCGATCTACAGTATCATTATAATCAAAGAATATCTATTATTAAAGTTCAAACGTAATATGCTTTTGGGAAAAGTTTTGAAAAAACTGCATAAAATTTATCTATCTTTAAAAAGATTTTATAGAAAGATTTATTGTGTAAATTTTGCAAACAAATTAATGTTAAGATTTCAAAACTATCTCAAAAAAGACTAAAAATTTAAAAATACTTTTTAATATGCAAATATTAAAGATAAGTAAATTCAACTTTTGATATTTCCATGATTCTTAAATAATTAAAATTTTTCAGCTTCAACAGTTATGAATGGAGATGAAAAAATAAAAAGAACTGAAAGTGGTGATGTTTCAGCTGCTTCACGAAGTAGCAAAGAAGTAAATATGAATTTTTTTATTTTAAGTTATAAAATTAAAATTATGAATGAAACAAATACTATAACTATAAGAGCATATTTTCTATAAATATTGTATTAATCCAAGATATCAGTAATATCATTGTAATTAATATTTATGAGTTTTGGTTAGAGCAATAAGTATATTATTATCTATTATTCTATACGTGTATTATTTCTCTAACCAAAACTCATATAAATATTGATTACAATTTTTTAATCATTCTTGCTTGACCAGCCATTCCTGGCAGAAGTGCAAAAGGTGCTTCTGTACCTGGGCGGCCAAACCAGGGATGGCTGTAGACTGTTTATTATATGTAAAATTTTGACTAATAAGAATAAGAACTTTTTTGATGATTATTATCCTTTTAGACAGATATAAAAGTAAGCACAGCATATCAAATTCTTAAATAATATTAAGTTAGTAAGAGTGACAATATTGTTTTTGTATCTGGGCAGCCAACAACCTAGGAGTGATCCTGTTGCTTGATTTCTCTAAGAAAGGATTTTGTACACAGAGTTTGTGCTTACTTACTTTTAATGCATAAATTTCCACTCAATTTGCTATTTTTAATATTTTTTATAAGTCAAAATTGACCCACAAAAATTTTCATTAAAGTTGATTTTTTGATTTTTATACATTTCTATGGCCATTTCAATCCTTCTTTGCCAAGTTTTCACTAACTTAATGGACATTTTATCTCATTGACACATTTAATGTTTTTTTATTCTTGCAAGGCATTTCAAAAAAGAGATAAAAATTACGCAGCAGTTATAAATAAGGCTTATCACTTTGTACAGCATAATGGAATTTATGACCATTCAGACATTCATGAAACCTTTAAAGGCAACAAAAATAATATATTTATGAACATTTTCAGTTATTTTTAAAAATCATCCTCATAAAGAATACAAAATTGAACTTAGCAAAAATAGAATATAATAGATAATTTTCCAAACAAAAATAAAAATACAATATAAGCTTAAAAATCCATAAATAATAAAACAAATATACAGTTGTCCCTCGATAATCCGACAGGTATGGGACCAAAGGGGTGTCGGATTACCAAAAGTGTCCGGATTACCGAAAATAATTACATATTTCGCATTGTTTTGCTAGCAGTAACTTACAATATTCTCTACTCCAACTGTTCGAACAGAACTGCTCACATAAAACACACGAAATGTGTGTCATCGAGTAAGAATTGGATGGGGAGATTCACATCGCAACATGCTTCTGTGCAAGCAGACACGTAACGGGGACGAGTACCTTGACGGGAGGTGCGTCGGACTACTGAGCATGTCGGATCAAAAAACGTTGGACTATCGAGGGACAACTGTATACAAAAATAGGTAAATATTATATATACTGAGCATCCTGAAGGTGTATGGAGAAGTTGATTCCAGTTATGCCATGTCCAACTCAAAGCAGGCTCTCCATGCTTCAGAGAGGACATTGCTATCCTTATAATTGATGGAACAACTCTGTTGCTCATATTTGTAAATGTATAGAGCCTCTATGTAATGTATGTGATGTCTATTTCTAATACTTCTGATAATTTTAGCATGCTGCCAGCAAACGTCAACTGAATCAGAAAGAGAATAGGCAGTGAGGGTTGTGACTGATTCAGTTGTTATACTTATGCTTCTTCAGTCTAGCATACAAAGATCTTAAAATGGCCCAATGTACTGAAGATCATATATAGCTCTTTTATCCCTGAGAGGAAATAGTGTATATTCCCAAAATGTTGTGGGGGTTGAGTGACCAAATCTATAACTATTTGTTTTTCCTGCTATTGGAATTCCTGTTAGATAATTTGGCTTTTTAAACAAAATAGATTTATCATCTTATAAAGGTTATAGTGTCTAAAATCAATCTGTTGTGCAAAATTCTAACATTTTCATTATTTAAACATAAATATTAAGTTTTATATTAAAAAACATCCATTAGCTAAAGTATATTTGATTTCAAATGTATAAAATGTAATTTTTGTTTTAATAGGGTTCGCCAGGAAAGGATATCAGTGAAGAATCCCCAAAGAAAGATAAAAAGAAGAAGAAAGGTTTAAAAACACCATCTTTCTTGAAAAAGAAGAAACATAAAAAAGATAAGGAAAAAGAAAAGGGATCAACTGAAACTTAACAATAAGTATGTATTTTAATGTCAATAATTTGATATTTTTAATTGCTATTATGACAAATTGTTCTTATAAAGGGTATAATGCTTTAAAAAATCAGTTAAATCAGATATATAGATAATTTATTAATAATTATAATATATAGGAAATGTGTTTATGAATTTAGACAAATTTATTATGAATATATCTAAGTTTGTAAGCACAGTTTCTATATATGCGATTATGATTTTTGCATTTTCAAGTTAAAGAATGCTTGAATAATCAGACTTGATTCAAACTGAAGCCTATTTGAACTTTCAATTAGCATGTATTAAGATAAATTTTAATAAGAAGATAAATCAGAAGTTTTCTTTTAATTTTTTATTTAATTTTTAAATGTTATTTNATCGTTTTATTAGTTAACATAAAAATTATTGTAAACATTATAATTACAGTTAAATATGATTTCAGCCTGGAACCTTTGTATTGTTGACAGTGTACACTGCCAACCATCAAGTGACATTGTTGTCTGCAATGAGGTTCAAGTTAATAACATAGAAGGGAACCAGGCTCTGAAGATAATCCTGTTGTCAAGTGCTCTTGCTTTATGCTCTACAGGGTCTGGTATTATTACTTTCAACTGCATTGGCAACCAGTTACTGTTGAAATTTTTTGTGTGTGTTAATTTAGTTATACTGAAAATATGAGAACTGAAGATCAGCAGATTATAAAACAGTCACATAAAATACTGTAGTTTATATTGTTTTAAGAAACTAAACTAAATTTAAAAAATTTTTTCTGTTCTATATGTTATTTGTTAAATGTTACAAGTCCAAAGTTTTAAAAATACTACAATTACTGAAATTTGTACAGTATACGTATTTATTTAAGTGGAAAAAGTTAATTCTTCCATCATCAAAATATTCATTTTTAAATAATTTTATCAGTTAAAAGACATTATTTTAAATCCCGATAATTTTTAACAAATTCCACTAATTTTTGTAGCACTTATATTGTTTTATACCTGTGTGACATATAAAGTTTCTTTATGTGAAATTTTATTTTATGAATTATAATATGTATATTGTATTAATATGCACAGATATTTTTTGATGTACAAACCAGATATTATTAAAAAAAACTGACATAAACAATATAGGAAATTGAAAATTTTCCAGCATTAAATGTGAAAATATATTTCCTTCTACATGTTCTATTTGTACTTATTTAAGGCATTGTTTTTGTATTAAATTACTTTTATTAATTGGATTTTATTTATACAAGAACAAATTGCACAGTTATGAATAGTATAACATCCATATTTGCTACTGGAGATATATGCTCAAGTTCTATGACTAAAAAGCTTTGTGATATAAAAAAAAATACAATGAAAATTGTAATGTTGAAAGTTTTATATGAAATATGCAGTTATTTTTACTCTCTTCATTATAATCCCCCATACTTAACATGATTTTTAATAAAACAAATAGCAGCACTCTTCCATATATATGGAAGAAATTTATAATTTAATTTTATAGTGACTGCTTTGCCTAATCCTAACCCATTAAACCTTCCCAGCTTGTGCTAGGTTACCACTTAGCAATTTGCATGTCTGGGATCAAACTTATGCAAGATATTAATTAATAGCTAGTATAAAATCTAATAATCCTGTTTACGTTTTATTAAGATAATAAAACTACAAGACTATTAAATTTTGTACACTTTAAACAACTAATTCTCATTTTGCTATTAATTCTTTATACTAAAACTAAATAAAAATTTTAAATAATTTTTTTTTTTTGAAAGTTTTTATTCTGGTTGTAACAAATTAATAATACTATACATGTATTAGATAAATATGGTATATAATGTTATATTTCAAGTCTGTTATCAAATCCCTACTTCTTCATTAATAATACCCCACTTATCAAATAGTACATTTATATATATATAAATATATATATGTGTGTGTATTTATTTATATATATATAGATGTTTCATTTGATATTATACACTGCCAGCTTTATAGAATAATAATAGAAAATTTTTCATAAGGTTTTTTAATGATCTTACCATTTTTGTAAGTTTAGAACTTCATTCATCTTAAAACAGTTTCTTAGGTGCATTTATTCATCCATATTGCTAGTCATTTTCTATTAGCTCCCATTAAATACTTGAATTTACCACTTAAAACATATTATAAGTGACAATAACCATAAATGGGACAACAATGAATATCCTCTGGCAAAATAAATGCTCTTTTATTTTATAAGAGGATATTTTAAACTTACTCTTTTATTTTGTATTGAATATTGTATTATATTTGTGATATATCAAAAATTTTTACTGTCTTTTATCTAACATATTTTATTTTAAAATTTATTAACTGAAAATTAAAAAAAAAACAAAAAATATTAAAAAAAAAGATGAGAGTCTATAATTCTCCAGAATTAAATCTGCTAATGTTTAACAATTTAAATTATGCATATTATTATTTAGAGAGTTCTTAGAAACAATGTTATAACATAGTCTACTATTTTGCTTTTAACTTTATGCAATTGAATTTTGGTTCTGGTCTTTGCTTTTCTAAATTTCTGTCTTATTTCTTAAAGGGGCATGTGCCAAACTTTTGGAGACTTTTGGAACATTTTTTTCCACATATCCAAAATTTTGGAGTGAGCAATTCACTGCCACAGAGAACAGCACATTAAATATTTCAGCAGTGTTTCCTATCATTTGCAAATAGAATTGTTTTATTATAACTTTCCATTTTTTTTTTTTTCAATTGCATTTGAAATGGCATTACAAAAACAAATATTGTTTTTTAAAAAAGACCTTGGCATTGGATTATTATCAATATTTGTCAGAGCCTGAACAAATAGTTGTCAAAGTTAATAGAATTTTCTTTTTTTTTTAATTTTGTTCTGTTAGAAACAAGTTGATTATTGTCATCATTAATGAAATGTTTACCTTGTTAAAAACTGTGATTTATGTGATTGAAATTTTTGTCCAATGTTATCACACATTTTATGTTCTATAGATGTTTTTTGTAGCCTCACCTGCTTGTCCAGCTGAAAGTGTTGTGTGAATAAATTTAAAAATTTCAACCCATGTGTTTGATGTGTATTTCAGTATAAATCCAATTCACAGACCTTACATAAACAATTTTATATTTGTACTTACAATATTTGAAACAGTTTTATACATTTTAGTTTGAAAAAGCATATAAAAACAAATTTAATAGTCTGTTTTTATTTTTTTATATATATTTAATTAATTAATTTTAAATTTTAACTTTGTATCTCTGTAATACCATATTTATTCACATCTAAGATTAACTACAATTTTGAAATTGAATTTTAAGGAAAAAGCTTATAACTGATCAATTATATTAAGTTTTGTTAAGTGACAACAACACAAATGCCACAAAATAGGTAATATTAGTCACTTATCTAAATTGGTAATTGATGCTGCATTATGATGGCATTTTAAATGTTAAAATTAAATTTAAATTAAATGCACATCATTAAAAAAAATTCATTTAAACTGATGTAATTAAGCAGTTTAGTCAAATACTCTATTGTTATCATTAGTGCATAATGCATCAACTCACAATGTATGCTGATTGTTGTTCTTGACTGCAAATGTAAGATACTGTCAATTGTAAGATGTATGTTTGTTTTGGACAGGTGGAAAGAGATAAAAACAAATATCTTAGAATTGAGGAAATACACTATTTAGCTGTCAATATTATACATAAATAAGCACTGCACTTTAGTTTAGTTTAAATGTTACTACAGCAAAAACATTCTTAAATTAAGAAAATATTTGTTTTTTATCTAATATTGGAACTTGTTTATATTTTAAGGGAAAGATATTTGTGTTCCTTCAAGATTTACACCTTTGATTATGTTTAACAATTCATTAAATACTTTATATTTCTTTTAATAGTAGTAAATCTGCATGTGTGGCATTTTGAATTACTACATGATAAGATTTCAAACATTGAGTAAATTCAGCAAAACATTACTTTAAACATATCATTGCAAAAACTTGATCATTTTACAAAGACAACCCATAAGTAGACACCCCGAATGTCAGCAAATGCACGAGGCAATATTAACTCTGAAAAATACATTGCCGTTTGGAAAAAAGTCTTCCAATATTCTCCAGTGGGCTGATGGACAAAACATCCACTTTGTTCAATGAGAATACACTCCTTGTCATGCTTCAAACACACTAGGAATTTGCTTGGCAACACAAGGAATCCACAAGCTTCCAGGAACCAGTCAGTCACCCATCAATATTATCAAACTTTTAGATTGATTATGGGCTGAGTGGACCAACATCCTACAGACCAAGATAGCAAAACTCATTGACTCCATGCCTGATTGAGACTTTGTGGTTTTACTATGCATAAGTGGTACTTGTATCGCCTGGATACTGTGAAATAACCTTATTTTCAGACATAATCTTTTATCTGTTTACTTATGGGTTGTCTCTGTATATATTTAAATATGTTGTACAGACTTTTAGACAACATTTAAATATTACTAGTCAAAGAAAATTTGAAATTATTTAATTGATATTCTCTACACTTATGAAAAAAAAATATTAGGATTATATTTTCATAATAAACTAATAGGTTTTCAAATTTACTTGCATTTAGTAAATATAAATCTAACGAAGATATTTAATCATTCTTTGAAAGTACTTAAATGCTATTTATTGAAGTTAACTATTTACTAAATTAATAAGTTAAAATTTATTGATTTAATATATTTAATAGATAAATAAAAATATTTGAACATATGTAATAAGTTTACATAGTAAAGAAGTAGTGTTAATAATTATAATGAAATTATTAAAGATTATGAAAATATCCGAAAAAAAAGAAAAATTATACTGTAAGAACAGTGTATAATGCTACCCAGTTAATTAAAATAAAAATAATATAAATACTTTAAATGGTTATGGTTTTATTTTAAAATATATCAAGTTATTTATATAAACGTAAAGTATTTAATTATGAATTAATAATTAAATTTCATCAGTTTTAATTAGGTTTTTTTTTATATGAGACTGAAAAATCACGAAAATAGTATTTAAATTTTCGTGAACATCTTACAAAATGTCGAAACAAGCACAGTAAATAGTGTTATAATAGTATTGTATATACAATAGTTATGTTATCAGTAATAAAGTTCCTATATGAAGTTGGTATGATGTAAGTAACACGTTTTTATTATTATTATCAATCGTATTGATAAACATTTCGTATAAAAAAGTAACCAGAAAATGTTAGAAATTTTGATTGTAATGAGCTACTTAAAAGTATGGAAACTTAATTATTCTATTGAATCGATAGAAGAAACATTGATTTCTATGGCCCTAATTCGATTGTTTCTAATTTTAAAATGCTATAAATAAAAAATGAATGCGTAATTTTACTTGTTAACATATTTTATTCTATTAATTTTCAATTAAATAAGCATTAAAGATAATTTTACTATTTATTTAAATTAGAGAAGTAAAGATCATTATTTTTTTCTTTATTTAAATTCTTTCATCTGACATGAGTTTGTTTCGATTTACAAAATAAAAATGAGTTGTTTTATAATCAGACTCTCGCAGAATTTGTAAAAATATAATTATGCCAAATTTGGTCAAACTTTTTAGGCCAGCAAAATACAATTTCTACTTTGTTGTATGGCCTGCTAATTAATTATACTGAAAAATAATGTCAGTTGTGTTACGTGATGAAATACTTGGCAAGAATGTAGAAAAAGAAAATGCAAAATTAAAAGATAATTAAAAAAAAATCTAAACTCTATTTCTGGCAGATGATAAAATTAAGAGTGGAAATGTATATTTAATTTATTTTTATTATTGTATCCTTAGAGATTTTTTACTTCCCCAATCAGGATGGATGCAGTTCATTTGTGCATATCCATCGTATATAATAGGAAAAAATCAGAAAATATTGGAGTTTTATATATAATAATCTAATGAATAGCACATTTTCTGGACTTTTATGAATAAACATAATAATTTTCTCTAAAATTAGAATGAAAATTAGCGTTAAATTGAGATTGAAGATGGAAACTGTAAAGCACATTATTATTTCGTAGTTTATTAAACTGAGTAACTTCTTTAAAGACAATTAACTTTATGATCATTTTTAGAATTATGTGTACGAATGATTTCATATTTATTGATAAATGTATTTAATAAAAATGAAAGCTGATCGATCCAAATATCAAAGGAAAAAATTTGAAAACCAGTTTCGGTAGACAAATTATCTTTGAATGTTGCAATTGAAATTTGATTTTATTCCGTTTTGTTTATTCAAATTACAACATACTCGTAAAAATATTTCATATTGTATTAATTGAAAACATTTAAAATATTTACAAAATATCACAAAGAAATTAGAACACGCACGCCCAAAATGGAGCTGAAACACAAGAGCATCAACAATCCATACTTCCTCACTCTAACATGGAATCTATTAGAATATTGTTTTTGTTTTAAATAAATAAATAGTGACTAAATTATATCTATTCCCTTTAGAATTAAATTATATATTTTAGACTATAAATTTGTTATTTTGTTTTGAATAACTCCCAACTCATTAATTTAAAATATAAGAAAAATTTTACTTTATAATTATAATGTAATATTCCATGTGGAATATTTTAAATAGAAGTAGATAGAAATTTTACATTTATTTATGTGTAATGTTTATATATTACCATTTTAATATGATATATTGTCCAGAGATTAAAGAAAATAAAATGTTAACCTGAAAGTTTTATCCTTAATTTATTAATTTTTTTGTAATTAATTTATTTAGTTATTAAAAATTACAATTAATTAATGCTCCATTAAAACAGTAAAACTATTTCTCTATAATTTATAATAGAATTTAATTAGAAACGAGCAATTATTTATTGTCACATCGTCACAATGCTGGGCTGCAATTTTTAATCATATTTTTAAAATTTATTTCATTTGAAATATATGCTTTCCACCTCAACTTAATACTGTATTGCCTTGCCCCTGTACAATTTTTTTTAAAACTGCAGCCCAATAATTTGTAATAATAAATTTGACTGAATTTTTAGATTAATTTAAATTTATTTATGTAAACTTGCTGCTAACGCTAAAAATAACAACAAGCAAAATTTGCATGAATCACAAGATAATGTATTGATAATAGAAGTGATAATTTCAGATTAGAGCAATATTTTTGGTCTATGATTTAAAAATTTTATATGAATAAATTATTAAATAATAATAATAAGTAATTAAAAGTAAAATATCCATAAATAGCAACGTTTATTTATTTTCATTTTAAGAAGTAAAGATTAAGATATTGATCTCCATAATTAGAAATTAAGATGAATATAAATGTAATTATTATAATAAATGATGTAGATATTAATTTACGGATATTTTAAAATTATTTAATATATTAAAATGCGAATGATGATATAAAAAAATCTTTCTAATTCAATTTATTAAGATAAAATTAAGTAAATTTTTGGAAAAGAAAAAGATAAATTAAAAAGTAATCATTAAACAGAAAAATTCAATAAGAGATTTAATAGAATTGAATGAGATATTTAAATAAAATTAATTTATTAAGTAACTAAAAATATCTACAGCAATGGTAATTGCTTATTTACGTATGTTTTAATCAAATATATTTTTTATTTTACTTGTTTCTACAAGTAAAACAAAAATATATAACAGTCCCTCGCTTTACGACCTTGGAGCTTTTCAATCTCTAAATCTTATTTAAATTCCAATTTTAAGTCTTCGATAATTATACGAAATTCCGCAGTTTTTGTGATTTTTTATGTATAATGTTAAATAAATAGAGTTGTATTTTCGTGAACTTAATCTAGATTTATTACATTGTCTTTATAGAAAATAGTATAGCTCGGTTTACGACGTCTTTCTAGGAGTCAAAGTCTACCATATTTAAATATTTATATATATATATTTAAAATTTAATCTGATATCCAGATAATTAATTTAATTGTATAAACTAAATTACAAAATATTTTAAAAAATCTAATGTTTTGTATGTTATTATATCTTAT